TGTTTCTATGCAGAAGTTCCTTGGCACGACTGGGCACTGAGATAACTTACCCGGACATTGCCTTCCGTCTGATTTTTTTTGGGCATCTCGTCTGGAGATGTTGCCTTCTGGTGGCAAGATGGAAGAGATGCTGGAAGAAAAGTTTCTTTGGTTTTTAAGCATCAGCAAATTCCAGTATGTGTCCGAAGGTAATTGTATTAGGCCACATGCTAGTCCCACACTAATAGTCTTACGAGCTCCCATGATAAAGCGTGTATGTTGCAATGATTATAGAAATTTTATTTTCATCTGGTTTTTATATTGCTATAAATATTTTGCATTTACCAAATAAAGTGGTTGCTATGTAGAGATCATAACTTCTGGGACCTAAATTTGCTTCAGACGATAGGCAAATTATAGACTACAATATGTGATCAAACAGCAGCATGGAGAACTTAAATGGAGTGAGCCCTGAGGACAGAGGCGGCTTGAAACTGTGGGGGATGGAATAAATGGGAGTCTTAGCAAAGCTATCGCTGGTTCTAGCAGATAAATTATGCTCTGCCTTTTTGTATCTCTTTGGGACTGTACTACATAAATTATGACCAAATATAATTTAGGCTATCAGCCTATATTTCTGAACATCCATCTTGTACATTTTAAGTACAAAATTACCATTTTGCAGAAGTATAAAATTGAGACAAATTTTTTTCCATCTGTGCATTTAACTTCTGCATACTTTATTGCAGCTAAAGGGTTCTAGAGGACCTCATTACCATCCGGGGGGACGTTAGCCCCACGACTATATAACTGTATTAAGATCTACATAAACGGGAATAAAGTTCGAGGGACAGTGGGATATGGAATTATGTATTCTTTCTTAAATGGAGATGTAACTTTTATCGAAAAGCTCTCGTCGCTGCCTTTCTGGAGAAGATCACTGTTTGTAAATTCAGACTTGCTGATGAAGGAGTCTGTGTTTATGAAAACTCCATCCAAACAAGCAGAAATGGGAAGGCTCCCCGTGCCACAGGGACAGGCAGGGGGACCCTCCAGCCACCTGTGATTTTTGGAGCCAAGTCTTGAACACTGATGTGGTCCAGAGATGGGAATGAACTCTTGTAGCCTCGTAGCTGTCGCTCTGCCCTTAGATTTCTGAGTGGTGCGACGCGGGTAGATTAGTGAGCTCTATGTCCTCCACCAGGCATGAGCTGTGAAGGGTCATCCTCTGACTTCTTAGGGGATAATCACGGTCTGCCGCAGAGAACAAGGAAGCTTCTTAAGTCCATGGAAAAGGCTCACCAAACCGGTCCGCAACCAGAGCAGTTCAAGTCTCTCTCAGGCAGACCTGAGTTTCTTCAACCTCTGGGTGGCCTTTCTTCCTTTACGTTGCTCAGCTGCGTGTTTTGTCCAAACAGAATAAAAGTAACTAGCAAGGAGCTTCTCCTCTCTCTCTGTCTCCTTGTTTTCCTCTACCCCGGGTGACTTCTCTCTACTGTGCTAGCTGCTTCTCAACTCTCCATCAGTCTCCCTCCAGATGGGCGGCCTTACGTCGGCAGGACTCAGTCTCCTAAGGACACCGCAGCACAGAGGGAGAGACACGGTGAGCAGGTACCCAAAGACTGGCTTGTCAAGGGCTGTGTCCAGCTAGCTAGAGGCTTGACTGTGGCTGCAACACAGCCTTCAGAGATGGGAGAGCTAACCTTAGACATTAATAGGGTTTGCTGTGTGTCATAGACCACGCCGGCCCCACCTCCACGCCCTGTCTTCAGCAGCAAAGGGAGAATCAGATATGTTGAAAAGGGAATAAGGGAGGGGCAACCATCTGTCTGTGATCTTTAGAAGTGGTAACATGTCGAAGGTCTTAACTTGATTGGTAGTAGGCACATTACTACAAGAAGGTACCAGTACAAGCTTTTTAAGCTTTTTGAAGTGGTGAGGTCTGGTCAGGTCAACATGGGATATTTATTATTTTCTATAGGAAACAGGCACATCATAGTCTTTGGGACTGGTTTATCTGAAAGGGCTTGGAAGTCACCCACTGTAGGGGTGATGTCCATGGTTCTCTGAATTCAGTGGGACTATGTATTTCCAAGAGACTTTGGCTCTTTGTGTCATTGGCGAAGAGTCTTCAGAAGGATTGACACAAACTGGAACCAAGAAATGGGACTCAGGCTGTCTAAGGGCCTAACATTCCAGCTTTGGTAGAGGAGTCATCTCAATAATCACTTCTTTACATATTCCTGGGTTATCACCGAGGATCTAATAAGAGCCAGCCATTTTCATTTTTCCATAGCTAAGACACACTTCCGGTTCACTGTTTCACCAGATAGAAAAACAAGTACAAAACACAATTGTGATGGTTTGAATCTAAAATATTCTCTAGGAGATTATATACAGATGGGTTAGTTCACAGCCAATGGTGCTGTTTGGGAGATTCTCGAAACTTGGAGGGTTTGGCCCTAGCTGGAGGAAGTCAGTCACTGAAGACAAGCCACTAATGGTCACCTCCTGGTTTTCTGCCTTCTCTGCCACAAGTTTCAGCCACCATAACGTTCTCCCTGAGCACCTGGGGATAACGGATTATGTACTAACCCCTCATAAACTAAGCCCAAGTAAATCTTTTCACAAATTTATTGTTCTCTCAGGTGTTTTGTACGTAGCTATACAAAACTGCTGCAATCATCAATACATTTTCCAATTGTAGTTGGTGTTTCCTTCAGAAAACACAATGGGGCAGTCGTTGAGAAAGTGACCCTTCAGTGGGTGACTGGGACATCTTCTCTAAGGAGGAGGCTCAAAGATGAAAACAATAAATAACGATAGCAGATTGGGTACCGGTGTAGAAGTCACACCAAGACAGTCAAGATAAGAGTTGCTAAGATGTCCCCTCCTATTGGCTGTATCCTTTGTCCCCTGTCTTACTCACTGCAGCTTTGAGGGATAACCTTCAATCAGCCTGCAGGGCATGGGGTGAGATTTTGGTGAAAGTTGTACAGACAGGGACTCTGAGATACTTTGTCACTTTGTGGGGGTGTCATCTGAGTTAGCCTTCTCACTCCCTCTGCGATTACAGTGTCAATGGAAATGCTGGCCGTCCACCCTCTCCACAGGACATGCATGCTGTAAACTTGGGAAGGCAATTCTGAGCGACATCAAAATTATTTAGAGAGATGGTCTTTCCCAGGGGCTGCCGAGCTTCACTCTTGCAGGCTGTGACGTCACACAACTGAAGGGTACCCCCATTCCAAATGGTCTGCATGCAAACAGCTCCTCAACAAAGATCAGACCATCCATGACTCATGGGTGCTCATGAGTAGACTGGAAAGACAGGGATCCAAGGAGCTCACATTCAGCCATATTTGACTCCTCCTTAAATCAAGGCTCAGGCTTAGTGAGGATGCCGGGAGAAATGAACTTACGCAACATAAGAGACCTTGGCAGAACCTGGATTATCAGAGCAGAGCTGGACTCCTATCACCCAGAGCTGTGGGGGGATGGGGGGAGAATTACCACTAATTTGCTACAAGAGACACAGTGATGTGCCCTGCAGCACCCATGGGGATTATAATCACATTTTACCCAGATCCAAACCCTGCCACTGAGGCCAGAGAGATGTCTCAGTGGATAAGAGTCGTATTGCTCTTTCAGAGGAACCAGGTTTAGTTTCCAGCACCTACATGGCAGATCACAGCCATATGCAACTCCAGTTCCAAGGGTCCAGCACCCTTTGCTGGACTCCACAGGCACTAGGTGCATAGGTGGTGCGTCTATGTACACGCAGGCAAAACACTCAGACACATAAAATAAAAATAGATAAATCCTCCCCATCAAGCTCCCGTGAAAAATCGCACATACCTGGCTGGGCTCACTGGGTGAAGTCCTTGCCATGCATTCAGTAGGACCAGAGCTTGATCCTCGTCTCCCATGTCAAAGCCCGGCATTGTGGCATGTGCCTATAACTCTGGAGCTGGGCAAAGAGAGGGTGGAGCTAAATGGATCCCCAGAACTTGCAAGGCAGGCAGCCTAGGAAAAGAGCAAGCTATAGAAGGATGAGAGACCCTGCCTCTAAAATGTGGGAACGTAGGATAGAAAGTGGTAGGGGGGGTACCTGGTCCTGACCTCTGGTCTCCATACGGCATGCGTAGGCAAGTGCATACACATGTGGACACACGCGCGCGCGCACACACACACACACACACACACACACACACACACAAAAGTATCTTATCAGGATACCTTTGGCTGAAAGCAACTGGAGATGGCCAGCTGGTTTAGACCTCAGCCTGTACTCTGTGGGGAGAGTTTGGCTCCTTTTGGGGTGGGGGTGGCAGTTAAAATTGTGACGGGGGGAGGGAGAACATTTGAAGGGAAAGCAGGCGGGTTGCCACTGGGAGCCAGGAAACCTCCATTGTCAGAACACAGGTGGAAAATGAGGGCGAAGCAGACAGAGCTGAGATTAAGTGATCAAGAAGAAAGGATTCAAACAGGAGGCCGAAAAGGCAGGCCATGTCAAGAGGGCAGGAGTGGCCGTGGGTGATGAATGGGACAGAGATGTGGAGTCATGTGACTGGGGGGATCTGTGAAGTCTGGCTTCGTAAGAAGGTGCTGGGTGACTCAGGTGAGTGAGGTAGACTAGAGAGTCTGCTGTTGTTTAAGAAAGGGGCAGCTCTTGAGTCTTCCTGCAGGGGAATGCTCTGACTGAGTGTTTCCCACAGGCAAAGGGAAGTCTTTCTTGAGTAACCATGGATAGATGTCTGCTGAGATCAAGGCTGTTGAGGAACAAGTGGGAGCACCGGGGAGGAAAGTAGCTCTGTGCTCCAAGATGGAAGGTTCTATGGTAAAAGACACCCAGAGCAGGGTAGGTGGTAGGAAATGCTGTGGCGATTTTCTGAACCCTCCTCCAACAGCATCTGTTTGTTAATGGTCTTCTAGAGCAAGCATGGGGCTGGGGAGGAGCAAATGGGCGGTGCTGGGCCTGGCCTTGCTGTTCGGGTTTTCTGAGTCAGTGTCTGCGACAAACTTGATCTCGCCACTTGATAGAATGTGATGAATTATCTTTCCCAGTGGGACTGAGAACATCAGGAAACAAGCATGCCTTCTACCCAATGTTCCATTTGCATGGCTCGGGAAGTCCAGGGAACTGATCTCAGAGTCATTTGGGGTAAGCATAGTCTTTTCAGCTATTAGATCCCCCAACAATCCTCCCTCCATAACTAGTGCATGTATCCCTGCACCTATGAATCCCACCTTTATCCACAGGATGTGCGGTCTCAATTCTGGGACAGCTAGACAAGGAGCCGGGAAATGAAATGTAAGTTGAAAGTACACATTGCTTAGCTGGGTAAGGTGGAAGCAGGAGGATTTTGAGGTGGAGGCTTGCCTGGGTTAGACAGAGAGTTCAAGGCCAGCCAAGACTATATAGCAAAATATTTTTTTTTTAAATAAAAGAAAGGGAAGAGGAAGGAAGGAGAGGAGGAAGAGGAAGAGGAAGGAAGAAAGAGCTAAACTCAAGCACCCAAGTGCTTCATCTGTTTTTGTACAGGCCCCACCTCTGCCCTGCACAAAGGTGCATTGTACACATCTGTAGCCAGGCACACATGGCGGCTGCATTCGGAGGCCAGACTCTTCGGGTGGAATGAGGACCAAGATGGGGACAAGAAGGCCCCACTGCTTTCTCTCGTCGCACCAAGCCTGCGTTGTGTTTCCCACCCCCTGTTTCGCCGCAGGAACAGGCTCCGTGGAGGAATGCAACTGCGCCCCTGTTCACCAGGCGTCCTGTTTGTTCCCAGCACAGAACAATGACCTCTTGTAAGGCAGTGCTTTCCAGCCTCACCGAGGGTTACTGAACAGCCCCGATTCCTCCCCTGATTATCTTGAAGCCTGTCAGGCTGTAGGCTCTCCCTCCCTTCTCTGCTCTTTCTTCCTAATAGACATGAAACAGTGCAGTCAATAATATTTTACTTGTCTTCCCACTGCGTGTCTCCTCTTCTGATCAGTTTAGGCGGGTTTGACTGCGGAAAGTCAGAAGGGAGGTTACGATCTGAAAAGTTCAGCCAAATGTTATCAGCCTCCGAGATGTTGCTAAGGGAAAGGCCCCCCAGCCCTTGGCGACCGGAGCCAATAATAGCTGCGATTCGCTGATAGTATCAACGCCTGTCAAAGATCCAGGCGTTTGCGGTTCGTCTGTAAACGCAAACACCTGTATCCAGTCAAGCTATGATGGTTATCGTCTTCTTCCCTGTCATGTCGATCGGTTCCTTGAAGGGGCTGCCAGGATGTGCTAAGCTGTGAGCTGATTTATAAAGTGAAGGGTCTCTCATAAACTTTGGCATGGACGAGGAAATTGACAAAAGCGTGCCTCTCCTTCAGGGGTGACGTGGCATTTTGACAACGGTGAAAGCCAGTTGTTTTTCTTTCTTTCTTTCTTTTAATTGTATTTTTGAACCCGTGGCACCTGAGGGACCAAATCATGGGAAATTGGTGGGGGGAGAAGGGGGCTTGGGCATGCTTTGAAGGCCTACCTTCACGGGCTCCCCACCCCCCCCAACCTCTAGGGAAGGACACTTGGTCCTTGTTTGAGATTGATGTGTGTGATGAATTAGATCAAAGAGACTAATAAATAGTGTCCGCAGAGCTTTTCAGAACATAGTATATACATAGCTGAGATCGTTTTGAGATTGAACAGGCAGAGCCCACACTGTTAAATAAACTTAGGCGCGAGGAGGCCGTTGGTGACTTACCCAGCCGCGGCGAGAAGGTGACACTGAGCAGGGGTTTCCTAGTGAAAGCCTCATAACCTCCATGTTTGGGTAGCTATCCATGGCTGCCTGGGTGGAAAGACAGGAAGGGAAGATAGAGTGCTCGTCGGTTCAATCTCGGCTCGTCTGCGAGGTTGCCTTCATGAGATAAGTAGTGACCAAGAGACTGCGTGCCTCTGTCCTAAAGGTCTACGTGGACTCATGTTCAATGGGTTCCAGATTCTCAGCCCAAAAGCGGATAGTCAGACCACACAATTTGCTTGTCCTGTGACCACCTATATATAATCGTACATATGACACCATCTTGTCCGTTTTGAACATCATTCAATTTGAAGATGAACAGGGACAATATGAAAGCCCCGAGAAACTGGGTCTCCAGCAAACACTGAAGCTGAGGATAAATTCTCTGGAAGGGACTTCAGACAAGCTAGGCTCCGCTGTGAGCTTGAACCACACCGCTCTAGGGCTTCCATGAGCCCATGAGTCCATGGCAGAGCTGGCTGTTGTGGTGGCACTCACTTGGGATTTCCAGCACTGAGTAGGTTGAGTCAGAAGGATGGAGAGTTTCACGCTAGCCAGGGATGGGTCCTGAGCTCATCTTTCCAAACAAGATCAAATAAAATTAGGGAAATGCAGCACCAGGACTCTAGCTAGAGTGATGAGAGGAGATGGTGAAGCGGGTTATAATCAAAACTGACCCTGCAAAACAACACCAAAGTGCCTAGCCACAAGCCCGGTAGGTAGTATGTGCTCAGTGTTAGTCGCTTGTCTTCCTCATCGACCTGATTGTTATAGCGTCACACTGCTGCCCAACCCTACCAGATTTGAGAAGTCTGATTTAGACTAGAGATGAGTGTGGGAGAATTGTCTATATTCTGTCAATCATGTTTTAAAGAAACGCTGATTGGCCAGGCAGGAGGTGTAGGTGGGAAAACCAGACAGGAAGTGGAAATGATGCAAGGAGAGCAGGAGAATTCTGAGGAGAAGGTAGTTGATTCCTCCCACTCCTGCCCATCCACCGAAGCAGCAGGATGTGAGCTGCCCCACTGAAAAAGGTACTGAGCCACATGGCTAAAATAGATCAGATAAATGGGTTAATCAAGATGTGAGAGTTAGCCAGTAAGAGACAAGACCTATGGGGGGCCCGGGCAGGACAGAAAAACTCCCAACAAACAGGCTCGGCCTTCTCATGTTACAATGAGTTTAAAAAAAATGCATTCAGCTACTATCACTTTAAAGCATACAAATTATAGTGATTTCACTAAGAATCTTCTAGCACAGTCCACATGTTTAATGCCCCAGTGGAAGACTACTATGTTGCCTCTGAAAGCCCGGGGTAGATGCATGACATCTGTGGAACCTGTGTACAAACTCTCATCAATTCAGAGTGTTCAAAAGATCCCAAGCCCAGTGGTCCTCAGAGCTCCTGAGCCTGGCAGAACTTCTTCAATTTGTTTTTGCATGCCTGCCCATAGTGTTTTAAGATATGATGGCCATATACTATGAATTGGTCCTATATTTTTATGGTGGGTTGAATGAGAAATGTCCCTCATAGGCTTATGCATTTGAATATTTGGTCTCCAGTTGGTGGCACTGTTTGGGGAGGTTATGGAAACTTTAGGAGGTGGAGCCTTGCTGGAGGAAGTATGCCACGGTGGGTGGGCTTTGAGGGTTTATAGCCTTGACCTACTTCCTGTGCTGTCTGTCTGTCTGTCTATCTATCTATCTATCTATCTATCTCTGCTTGTGTGTAGGGATGCTTCCTGTTACTATAGCCATATCATGTTTTTTCCAGCATGAAGGGCTCTATCACTCCAAACTATAAACTAAAATAACCTCTTTCTTCCTTAAGTTGCTTTTGGAAATAGTATTGATTACAGCACCAGAAGAGTAATTAATACAATATTTTAACTAAATCCTTAAAGGATCACAGACTGGGGAGATTGCCCATGCACCGCCCTTGCAGAGGACACACGTTCTCAGCACCCAAGTCCGGCAATTCACAGGCACCTGGAACTCTAGCTCCAGGGAATTTGATCACACTCTCTCACACACAAACACATCTGCACTTAAACAAACAAAAAATTAAAAGGAACACACTGAGTTGGAGCTCTGGCAGCATATACCAGGGGCAGGGGGGGCAGGGTGGCGATGCTCTGACCAGGCAGCATTTCTCCTGAGGATGGGGCTAACTGATGAGAACGGCGTACAGTGCTGGATTGGGACTCTTGGCAATGTGCACAGAAGGGTCTACTCACTCTGCCCTCCCACTTTTTTTTTTTTATCAACTCTCAAGTCGTCACCCCCTTCTGACCCGTGCAGTAGTTCCTGAGACCCGACCTTTTGCTCAGTATGAGGTGGGAGTTTTTCCCAACAGTGGTAGATAAGTGGTCTTGTTTCTGCTCAGACACCTAGCAGGACCTTTTCTTCACTGCCTGTGAACATGCACTGCAAAGTTGTCACCTGCATCTAACTCACTCGCTCCACCTACGGTCTAAATGGTCACTGGAGGGACATCTCTGAGCCATGGCTTGTTAGTGAAGGCTCATAATCCCAGCTATGCTGGTGATGGAGGCTGGAGGATTTTGAGTTTAAGGGAAGCCTAGACTATAGAGGAGATTGTTGACTTTTGGCATGAGAAATTGCATGCCCTCAAAACACTCAAATCCTAGAAAAACCAAGGTGATGGGTGACCTGAGGCTATTGAGAATGGTGTGTTTCATTTTCATATTCTGAAAGGAAGTCAAAGAAAAAATTGGAGATCTGAAGAATGACCACATGTAAGAGTTTGGCAGACTCAGGCCTAACTGGGCATTTTTAGTAACCTCCTTAGCATATACTACTAACCCAATAGCAAGGAATATTCTGGGATGAATGAGGTTGAGATTTTATTCTGACTGTGAAATCATCAATAAGAGAATGTATATTCTGTCCCTACCCACCAACCTCTTACACGCACGCACACATATACACACACACACACACAGTGTATGTGTGTGTGTGTGTGTGTGTGTGTGTGTGTGAGAGAGAGAGAGAGAGAGAGAGAGAGAGAACAAGAGAGAGAGAGAGAGAATATACTTTTCTTTCTAGAATCATTTCATTCTTTTAGATCAACATGATTTGAGAGGAAACACCCAGCACCCCAGGTTTTGTTGTTTGTGTTTTCAGTGGCTGACTTGCTCTACAAAGACATAAGTACTTGGTTTGAACATTAGGCCTTTAAGGTTCTCTTACGGTTTGAGTCTGAAATGTCCCCCTCTGGTGTATGTTTTGAACAGCCAATCTCTGGTTGGCCATGCTGTTTTGAAGGCTGCAGAGCCTTTAGAATCTGGGATATAGCTAGTGGAAGTAGGTCCCTAGGCCAGACCTCTGAAGGCCATACCCATCGCAGTTTCTCATCTACACTTACTTACAGCTTTCTGGTCTACCTTACTGTCAGGAGGCTCTGACACACTCTTCTGCCAGGCCTTCCCTGAGATGTTGGCCTGAAGTCAGTCTGAAAGTGTGGGCGAAGATGATTTTATTCTTTCTCTTGTTTCTGCCAGACATTTGTTCACAGTAAAACAAAAGTACCTGATACAGACAGGCTGTTTTAACCAAGAATGGTGACATCCAAAGAAAACTTGCCACATATGAATGGCAGGTCACCCCTACCCATTAGCAGGGGGCACTCCAGCCTTGGGTTAGCTAATTTAAGAAGAATAGTTCGGTTCACTACCAGACTCTTTTTTTACCACTTTTAACTAATAGGGTTTTCTAACGTGAACTTGTAGATATAAGTAAACAATCAATATGTATTCTGTTGTTGAAGAACTATTATTCTGATTATTTCTTTTTCTGGTTTTGGTTGAATCTCTTCGAGGGCAGTGGTTCTCGACCTTCCTGATGCTGCGACCCTTTAATACAGTTCCCCATGTTGTGCTGACTCCCAGCCATAAAATTATTTTCATTACTACTTTGTAACTGTAACTTTGCTACTGCTACGAATCGTTCTATAAATATCTGCTCTGTGACTCCTGAGCAAGGGTCATTTGACTCCCCCGAGGGTCGTGACCCATAGGTTGAGAACCAACCCTCTAAGTAGTCCGAACTCAGCCCATGAATGGTGTGCGAGGAGGTGAAGGGCCACACAGGAAGTGACTACCTTGAGTCCCTAGCCACAGCTGTTGCAGTTCCCAGCTCCAAGGCCCTCACCCCTCTAGCCACCC